TACACCTGCCACCTCTGCTCTTGTTGGCTACTTCAACCCTACTTTTCCTCCTCTAGCCTTCCCATCTTCCTCCTTAGCTTGGGGAAACCACCACCATTTCATTGTATGTGGATTGCTTTGTACCATCTCCAGGGGAAGTGAAGGAAAGGTGGGCTTTGAAAGCGTTGTCAAGGAGGCATTGACAAGGTGTTGAGACTTTCATGGGGCCCCAGTAGGCTTCATCTTCGCTAAGTTTGTAGAACTCACATTTTTATTTTAAAATTGACCACTAAATTATCTGAGGATATTCTAGCGATACAGCAACGAATAAAACAGACAGATCCCTGCTTTCAAGGGGTACACATCTGAGACAGAGAAAAAGTAAAGAAGAAAATAATCAAGATAAATCTATTATACTAGAATGAGCAAAATGCTACAGGATGAAGTAAAAATGGATGATAAATAGAAATCCCAGAGGTTTGATTTCTGAATGAAGTGGCTCTGAAATAACTTCCAAGTCTTTTTTTTTTTTTTCTTTTGCTTTTTCAAGACAGGGTTTCCCTGTGGCTTTGGAATTACCTCTTGTAGACCAGGCTGGTCTCGAACTCACAGAGATCCACCTGCCTCTGCCTCCCGAGTGCTGGGATTAAAGGCGTGTGCCACCACCACCAGGCTGTAGTTCACACTCTTAATACTAGCAACTCGGAGGGGGAGGCAGGAGCATTACCATGTGGTCCAGGCCAGTGTGAGCTACAGAGGGAAACTCTGTCTCGATGAGAAGGGGAGTCCTCACTAACATAATATTTCAAGCAAAGATGAGAAGGAATTGCGGGAAGTGTCTGTAGAACAAACAGTTCAAAAGGAGGCTGAGGTAGAAACAATGAGAGACAAGAAGGAGCAGAAGAAGAAACGAGAACAGGAGTTGGCAGCCGTGTGTGATCCCACGGGCCATAGAGATGAAGCCCTTGGAGTCTGTTTTGCATCAAATGCATAGAATTAGCATATAATGCTATTTTCCTATATAGTGATATTTTCTTCCCTTCTTGGAATTCACAGTGCTCTCTCTCTCTCTCTCTCTCTCTCTCTCTCTCTCTCTCTCTCTCTCTCTCATTGAATGTCATCCAAAATTTCTCCTTTGACTGCTGAGCCCCTGAAGGTCCACAGAATGTCTTCCGTGGTACACACCTAAGTCACTGAGGCCTACATGGATATCTGTGTTAATGTGTTGACTTCATTTCAATAGTCATCATTTCAAAGCATCGAAGTAGTGTCTAATAAAGAAAGACATGGAAAGTGGTTTGGCCAAATTCTGGATTTATTCCCATGAAATTAAGTCAATCACAAATAACAATAGTAGTTATTATCATCAATAATCATTTTAGGGCTGAGGCTGAGAAGGCAATGGTACTGATAATCCCCCAGAATGTTATTCATCATGCAACTTTTAGAATTATATATTGAAACAGTCTAGTATGTAATTACCAGGAAAGTTATTTAAAGCAGAAATATGAGACTCAGAGTGCCAAAGGTGTAAACAACTTTAATCTGTTAATTTATTGCACATGTCTCTCCGAGCCAAGTTTTAGTTTAAGATTAGATCTTGGATATTTTTGTGTTGCTACAAATGAAACGAAAAAATGTTTAAACTCAAACGCTAAGCGCTTTTCATCTTTCAGATGTCCCCTATCTCTTTGTGAAGCCAAGGTGATTTGGACAACTTAAGCACTGTTGATCTACACATCCTAGCTTCCCCTTGAGAGGCACTCTGGAGTTTGAAAGACACTATGGCTGCACTCACCTATGTCAGCAGGTGGTCCCTTTAGGTAACAGGCTTGCTATAGGAATTATAGGAATGGGAGTTACTTTTTAATTACTGTGACAGCAAACATAGTTTCCATTAATCAAAGATGATTCATGGCCACTGGACAAGGAAATTCATCCATTCATCCATTCATCCATTCATCCATTCATCCATTCATCCATCCATTCATTCATTCATTCATACAGGACAGAGGCGAGAAAGTGTGTTATAGACAGCCTATTACATACTAGATTCGATTACCTGCAGCTGCCTTTTTCTTGCAACTCAGAGTCTGCTTCTGTGTGGCGGCCTATCTTGTTCTGACCATTCAGTCAACCCCTGGCCATATGAAGGAGAGCTACAGTAAAAACTGAGGCCCAATCAATCAAGTCTTTAAAAGATGATTCACTGCCAAAGGTAAATGGCTTTTGAATAGGTCTATGTTCTCAAACTCTCCAAAAGGGCTCCGCCACCTCTTACTCTTAAGAAACACTGTTCTCCAGTTACACCACCATGAAATGTGACCTTCCTCTACAGCTGGCACTGGGGTTTAGTCGTAATCATTAAAAAGGTACAGGTGTGCTGACAATTCAAGCTAGCAGGAGAGTGGCATGGTGTGAGACAGGGGGATGGGAAAGGGAAATTTACAGGAAGGCTTGCACAAAATTGAATCCTTAATACAATCTCAATAATGTGAGCTCTTGCAGCCAAATATTTGATTCCCCTCTTCCCTTCACAATATCATGATTGACTGAGAGCTTATGTAAAACCATATTTCAGGGATATTGGAGGGTTTCAATGTACACATTCAAGAATTTGCTGCATGTGTAACTAGCCCAAGTTTGATTCTATGATGTCGACTGCAATTCCCACATTGACAGAACAAGGAAACATTCAGGAGGCGAGTCTCATTCAGGGGAGAAGCTTCAAACTGTCAGCTTGACCGGGCAGAAATGGAAGCCATGATCAGGAAAGGAGGCAGACTTCACTTCCATTTATAAAAGAACTGCATCAGGGTGCTCACAAAACAAAACAAAACAAAAAAAAAAAAAAACAAAAAAAAAAAAAAACAAAAAAAAAAACAACAAACAAAAGAAAAACAGGGGACTCACTTTAGAAAACTTGGTGTCCCTCGAGGTGTTCTAAAAAGCAATGAATAGTCAGTCATTCATGAAGACACATTGGAGGACAAGCCCTAGATGGCCTAAGAGACATGCCTAATGTCCAGCACTTTATTTCACATCCCATATCTGGTGGGGGCCAGGGGTTCTCTCTTCTAAGACCATTTGGAAACTGCTGGTACTGCTATGCATGGACCACACTGTAGAACATCGGGAGATTCAGGGCAGACTCAAGATGGAATCCACCAACCCAAGTAGCTTCATCATCACACATTCAAGTTACTAATACTTTAAGCAAGGATTTCATGTGTATGTGATTTCCTAGGTAAACAGCAACCCGAACACTCATCAGAGTTCCCACAGAAGCTGTGCACTCATTAGTTCTGAGAGGCCAAGGCAACTGTTGTCCTAATGTTCACCACCCTTACCTCTTGCTCCTAAACATCCATCCAGCAGGCTTACCCAAAACTACTTTTTTTTATGCCCTATAGGGATTTCCATTATTCCAGATACCTGGAATAGTCATTCTAAGAAGTTCCATCAAAAAGGCTTTAGACTGGCAACTGGGAAAGAGTAATTCAAACACTGTGATATTGGATGCATAAATGATTTGAGAAAGCAGAAGGACTTGAGTTTGAATGTTAGGGGCAGGTCGGGGCAGTTGTCTGTGTTTCAGCTCCCCTCCATAGTAAGAGCTGTGTATGCTTTCTTCTAAGACAATAAAGTAACTAGTACTAAATTTCTGGCATGTAATGTTTACGGAATCAATTAGTTAACTGTTCCCTCCCTCTCTGTTACATAGGATGAAGATAAGTTAATAGGTAAATCATGAATAAATAACTTAAGGTCTAACAATTTATAAAGAAGCATATTTCTAGCCTGGAATTCAGAATAATATGAAAGGCAACTTGTTTTTAAAGACATGTAGGTAGTTTTCTGTGGAATCTTAAATTAGAATAGAACAGAAAGCTTTGGATGATTTTGAAAGGGAAAATAGGGAATTATTACACCACATTTCAACCTTGCTTGCTTTGAAGAAATTGTGTTAGAAAATGCTTGCTATCCAAGAACTCACAGCAAATATGTCTCTAATTTTAATACAACACTATAAAACTGTCTGGAAAGTTGAAACTAGTTATTAACAGACTCTGAGTGGGAAAAATATTCTCCAGGGGTAAAATGATTTCCCATGAGAAGTAGGCTTAGGGTCTCCTGGTCAGATGCCTTCAGATGTGAGACCATAAAAAATTGCCACTAGGTTTCTTATCGTTTAACTGCTTGGTCCTCACTAGGACATTTTCAATGTAGGACCAATGTAAAATGCTCCCCCATCGATTCATGCTCCATATGACATAACACCTCCATTTTTTTTGTCCCAGAATGTTAAGCATTCAAAAGATTTCATGGCCCCAACACGGGTTCTAAAAGTGCCTTTTCTATTCTGTCTCATGCTATTTTTTAAAACTACTGGGAAAGTTTAAAGGAAAGCAATCTCTTTGGACCATTTGTCATATAATGAGAGTTCACAGCTCTCATTGTATCTTCTTCTAAAACACTCTTACCCCTCAAGGATAAATTCTTCCATTTCTGATAAGGTCCTAGTCCAACCCAAATTACAAGGAAGGGAAGTCTTGGGGGTAAAATGTGTTTACTGATTTTTTTTTTCCACGTAATATCTTCAAAGAAATTGGAAGGAAGGAAGAACTGATCCTAGGGATATCTTCCAGAATAGTTTTTAAAAATACTGTGACATTTTGCTTCTCCAACAATCTTTGTCTCTGAGGAATTTGAAGCCACACTGAAGACTCTACCTCCCAAAGCAAACGTTCATCCCAAAGACTTGTGCTCATTTGTCTAATGCAAAGATCATCTGTGGAATCATTTTTATACCCCCAAGATTCACATTAAAGCCAGTTTAAAAATAATTTGCCATTTACATATGTTTTTACTAGATTGAACGTCAAATGCTCTTTCACCCTTCCCATCCCGGCAGCAAACGCTAGAATCACATTATCTTAAGGGTTTTATTCAGCAAGTTCCAGGGCTGGGCCTCTGAACAAGATACGTTTCTCATGGTGAAGGGTTAAAAGAGGACACAAGCTCCCCTCTGGAAGTCATTAAGTTCCAAAGCCCCAAGAAGATAAAAGTTTCCATTTTCTAAAATGTAAATCAAAAACATATTCATTAGTATTGCAAAACAAACATGCAAATCTTCCCCACTTGAAAAGCTCGGCTAAATATGTACAAGGGCTAAACCCAAAAATACATCTGGTACTCAGCTACAGAGCTTGTTTTTTTGGTTTTATCTAAAGAGTTTGTCTGTCCTCCATGGTTGGCTTCTTGGATTATTGCAATTCATAATAAGCCTTTTAGCTAAGGATGAAATAAACAAAGATAAAGTCTATGTCCTAGTTTTAAATGGTCCAGATGGGATGATTTTTCCATATGCTTAGCACACCCACTGTTTATTAATCACTGCTAGCAGAGCTGAGAGGATTACAGGGTTTATTGCTTAAGCAAGGGTTGAAATTTACAGTTTGTGTAATCTCCGCACACCTTTTAAAATATTCTATCTTTTCTGGGCTGTTCTTTGTGCTTAACTCAGGTTGGATGTGTGTCCAAATCGGGATGCTCGGGTCTCAGCAGCTGGGTCTGAGTGTGACATATCAGGGGGCAGAGACTCTCAGCCAACTGATCAAGGGGAGGCTTTTGTGCCCAAATTTGGAGACAATATCAGTCTCGAGGAATGTGTTACATCATAACAATGACAATGTGGGTAAAACTGGCAATACTTGACTCACCACCCTTTACAATGATTTACTTAGCGTCTGGCAATCTGTTCTTCATATGATGCGTGGTTCTCATAAACAGTTTCAACATGGGAGAGTACGGTGTCAAGATAACAGTCATATCGTTCGTCATTGCGGATCATCCCTGGAGCTTGCCAAGAAAAGAAGGCCCTTTTATCTTGCAAGGCTTAGGAGTCCTTGCTTTCTGGTGATTGCTTCTCATCAGCGTGCTGTGTTGTCCTTTGAAACCCGATCGTCACCACCTCCGTGGTGTTGCCATGTCAGTTTGCTGTGAGATGAAGTCTTCAAAAGGAAAGGTCTCAACATGGGGAACTGTAGAGGGAAGAGAGAGGAGGAAATCCTGAGACAGAGAGGAGTCGTGGAGAGGGAAGAAACGCAGACATAAGTCAATGGAGCAACAAAGATACCCTCACTTTTAACCTGCCATCTGTGCAATGGTACCAGCCTTGGATGACAGGGACCGTTTCATTTCCTTAAGTGTACTGAGGTCTTCACCATAGTTTAGTTCTAAAATGGTTAAAGCAACCATGTGGGAGGTAAGGAGGAGAAATCTCTGCCTTTTTATGTGACAATCACGGTCTCCCGTGGATTCAAGGGGAATCTGACAGAAGGCTTCCATATTTGGAACACCCCTAAAACTTGGAAGGAGAAAAAAGGGGGGAAATATTCTTTAAGTTTTCTTTTAATAGAATTGGTTAAGACAGTTAATGTTGAAAATGTTCTATTAATCATGGATGCTTTTTATAGTGTTTCTACATGCGTTCTGAGATGTGGTTTTATATCTTCAGCAAATGGAGAATGGAAGACCACTAAAAAAAAAAAAATAAGAATTGGCAGCTGTGGGTCTGGAGAACTGAATATTCAGCTCTTCAAAAAAGACTTTGAAATCGCTCTGCTGGAGTCTTGTGTATAATAATTAAGTTCTGAATTGGAACCTGGCATGATATCCTCCTCTACAGCATGGGCCTATAACATGGGCCCTTATAAATTATAACGGAGAATTTGTGCTCAGAAGTCAGTGTTTTACAATGGTGCTACCTAAAGGAGCAGCATTATGTCCGTGGATGGAAACAGTCCAAGTTGAACTTGGAAAGTCAGTTGTATTAAACAGACAATGACCAGATGATCTGCAACATCTATACAAGGGTTCCCCTTCTGATATCTCGCCTTGGTTTGGATAGCCACAGACATCATTAATTTAAAGCACTGTTCTTGGGCAAATTGGTGCCCAGGGGGAAAACAAATCCCATTTCCCAGCCAGAGAATAAAGATATGCTGTGTGACTAACCAAGAAAGAAACAGCTTAGTTCTTTGGATACTTCAGAACATACTGAGCTTATGTCAAAAGAAAGTTAGACCTGTTGTTTGGAAAGTTTAGTTACTTACAGTGGAAATAAAAAAGCAAGATCTTTGATCATTGGTTCTCAATCTTCCTAATGCTGTGACCCTTTAATGTAATTTTTCTCATGTTGTGGTGACCCACGGGCATAAAGTTATTTTTGTTGCTGCTTCATAACTCTAATTTTGCTACTGTTGTGAACATATTTTAAATGTCTGTGCTTTCCAGTGGCAACCCCTGTGAAAGGGTTGTTCACCCAACAAAGGGGTCACATCCCACGTTCTAGATGTTCAGTCTGAAGTAGTCCTTAAAGAATCTATAAGGCACACAGCAAACTGCTAAGCTTCAGGCCTTGGCAGGAAAACACAGGGAAGACCTGGCTGCCGCATGAGTGTGACAACCCCACCAAAGCTGTCGCTAGGCAAAGGAATGTTTTGCCACCACTGAGTAGCAAATATTTTCAGCAGCTTAACCAGTATGCATGAGGGCTCTGTTTAGAATTTCCATCCTCAGAGTAATTATCTAGGTTTATGTCGCCCTCAGAAAATGACTCAGCTGTTTTTCTTGCTGAGTAAATGGCTAAAGCCAGCGATTGCTCAAAGCAAAAGGAAACTGTGGAAGAGTGACTGGACGGCGTCTCAGCAGCTACGTGGACAAAGCTGGGTCAGAAATGCCACCCTCATACATGAACTTGTGGACGTTTCTTCAAACCCAGCTGACACTCAGAAACAACCCATGTGTCCTTTGCTTCGGGCATCTTCATGGATTCCTGTGCTACTCACAAGTCTGTGTGTCTCCCTCCCGAGGACGCCCTCTCTCCTGTGCCCTTCTGAGTCTGATGCTCTCATCTTCCTGGATGACTCCAGCATCTGGAGAAAGGCTCAAGTCCCTCTTGCTAGTCTGTCTCCAGCAATCCATGCTGCAGGATGCTGTAGTCCACTAGCCAAAGCAATCACACACACACACACACACACACACACACACACACACAGCAAATCAATTACACTCTGTCACAATCCAGCTAAAAAGTGGGCAGATGTTTCCCACTAAGTATAAGAAAAGCCAGGCATAAATGGGTGGCATTCCGACTCAAGCCACTAAGTTCCCTTTATCGAGCCACACCAATTTCTAAACCCAGTCCCTCACCCCCCTTCTCTTTCTTTGGTCAGGTCCTTCCCAACCTCTGTGCGATCTAGTTCAGGCCCATCCTGTTTCTCCAGGCCTTGCCCACGGCTTCAGTCACATTGATGTCCTCCTCTCTGGACCAGTAAAACTCAGTGTGACTCACTATACACACCATGTCACAGCAGTGTGCTGCCGTGTGGCTATTAACAGCTTCGGGTCAGTTTTCTTTCCAGAGTACAAGCTCAGAGATGATAAGGACTGTTTCTAAATGCCCAGGTGACAGTGAGTGCCTATTGTACACCCAGCACAATGTTAGGCCCCTTCGCTGAGCTCTGTCCCTGAAACATAAACTCCACGGGATACGTGTGTCTGTTTTGCACACACAGTACCCGGCAAAATGAACAGGTAACATGATTCTCTGGGTTCTAGTGCCTGGATCACCTTCACTGCTCGGCTTTGAAAACAATTCAAACACATCACTAGAAGTCCTAATAAACAGACACTTTAAGATGTATCCAAATCAATGCTAAAAAACGTTCTGCTAAAATGAAAACATTCCCCTAACATCTCTGAATTGGGTCTCTAGTTTCACTGAACAGTTTTGGTACAAAAATGAGCATTTGTGATATTTCATTATTTTACTATGCTTTTCCATGGTTACACCCATGAGTTACAGACAGTTGTGAGGACTTCCCAAGAGAACTGGCCAAAACTCAAAGTTTCTGAGTGATCTTTTTTTTTTTTTTTCATACAAAATTCCCAACTAGGTTGCACCTATTAATAGTAGTTATTTTCAACTTTCCACACTTTCCATAAATAAGGTTACCCCAAACCACTTCCACCATGTCACTCCTGAATTTAGATTTGGTCATTTGCCCTTGGAAGAACCAACCCTTAAGGCATGGTACCAACATGAAAGCATCTCACTGGAAACGCCCAAGCTGCTTCCTGAGAGGCAGAATGAGCAAGGCACTGACTTGCGAAGATCTTAAAAAACGCACATAAACTATCAACAGTGTAGACAGTATCAAACGGATGTCTATACAACATAAATTATCCAGGTAAAGTTCACCCCACCCTTCACTTACATTTTTCAGAACAGTAGAAGCAATAGATGCCAACTGAAATGAGAAGTTGATGAAGCCAAAGTTGGCCCAGTTGGGAAATATATTTTATCCTACCACGTTTTTACATTTGCATACATGGCACCCTTCAAAGCCAGGAGTTTATATTTTTCCACCAAGGCTCAGCATGTGTGAAAAATGCTTTCCAAGAACTGAAGACTGGCTAAGATGCAAACGCAAATACGGATTTGTGGGCAAACATACACAGTTTAACCTGATCTGAGATCGTTCTGCCATAGTATCAACGAGCTCCGTGATTAACCCGTCTCCTTCAGACGAGAACGTTGAAGCATGGGCCCAGGCTTAATTCAATTGAACAACCTTAAAGTCTAAAACACAATGGCACACGAGAGAGTCACTCTAAAAGCCAAATTGTTTCTGAATAGCTAGAATGCCTAACTGGAGAGAGGGAGGATCAGTAAGAGATAATATGCTTAGCATTGGGATAGTTCAATGAGCTAGTTCATTCTTCCTATGAAAGGGATTATCTCTGTGGCCACAAATAAATTCCAAGGGTTCTGATTCCATGACAGCTTTTCTCCTCTCTTGGAAAGGGAACAATACAAGAATTCTCTATTGATTCCTAACCCCAAAAAGGTTCTCTCAGTAAATATATGCTCACAAGATCTGGTACTCAGAGGGACAACTGGGCTAACCTTTTGTTTTCTCTGCCTGCCACCCTAACCAAAGGTTCCTTGTTGCCAAATAAGGGGTTGAGAACAGAGCTTATAAAATCACATAATCTATCTGAACCAGAAGAAAGTATCTCAGATAGTCAGGGAGACAAGGGGGGAGGTTGAAGAAGATGTTGCCTTAAACTCCATGTCTTCAGGATGCTGTGCTTCAGTGCACATTATCTCATCCTTGGACATGATGGATGCCCAGTGTCATGTGCTATCTCTTTTTCTGTCCTTGAAAACAAAAGAGAAAAGATGTCCAAGAGAGATTACATGGAGATTTGAAATTTGTTTAATGCATGGTTATTTGCCTACATATGGCCTAGGCCTGTTTCATGCAAACTGCCAAGAATCTTCAATGGTTCCCAGGGAAATCCAAGCTTCGACTTCATAACCCTAGCTTTTCTGAATCATTTTAATTGTTCCAATTAGACGCTGCATAGTGAACAGCCAAGTACCAATAACGCAGCAATTTTTGCCAATCTGCATGTGAATATCAAACAACAAAATAGAGAGATGCTCACTACTCAAAACACAATTTCTTTCTGGTGGTCATTTTGTTTTTAACTTCTTCTTATTATTTGAAAATAACATTGTATTTGGAACAGGTTCAATTGCCCAACATGACAAAAACAGGCATGGGTGGCATCTTGACCCCAGCCCAGGGTCCTAGGAAGTAAACAAATTTTTCTGTGGCGTGGTACAGAGCCAATTCCGGAAGAAGAAGCCAAAATCCCGAATGAAGGCTGATCTCATAGAAGTGTTCCTTCCCTTATCAAGATGAGGTTTCAGGCTCTCAGATTTCAAGGGTTTGTGTTGGTTTTTATTTGTCTTAGATGAGCACAAGCAATTCTCACATGTTTTGCCCTGGGCGTTAATTAATGCGAGCCACTAACACTTGGGGTGGGGGGTAGAGGCGAAAAGCAGCATCCATTAGCAAATGGGATCTCTTTATTAAGTACTTGCTATATGAGAGGTACTGGGTTAGGTGTTCAAAGGCCACCAGAGGCGAGGTAATATGGCCTAACCATGAACATGGATGGTTTTTAATAAAATACAAACTACATGTCAAAGGATGGTCAGATAAATCAGTGTTTGGGTGTTTGGAAAGGGGCCCAAGTCAGTTAACTAAGGCTAATGAAAATAAGGGAGGTTTGAGCTGAATCAGAGAAAAAAGAAACTCACATGGGTGGCAAAGAAAGACAGACCTTCATAGCAACAAGCAAATGTGGAAAAATGTTCTTGTTGAATCTGACAAAGGCACAGTTATAGCTCAAGTGTTTTCTCTATCTCTAACTGAAAACTATTTAAATAGTTTTTATTTAGGAATCCCACACACACACACTAAAGGAAGTAGCCTTTAGATAAAGGGACAAGTCAATTGACATTGACTAAATGCGACCAGATTCTAGCAAGCAATTTTGTGACTACTAATGGCACCATCAGAACACAAACTTGGAAGAGGTATACACGAATAACAATAGTCAACAGTATAAGGATTTTATGCCTCTGCGCTGTACATTTGATCTGGTCTACAGTAAGTGGTGGATGTGGAAACTTCATATTTGACAGGCTTCTAATGAGCTCTTTGGAAACCGACCTTTCATCATGTAGCTCTGTATACTTAGCTCCTGGTGAATTGCCTGGGGTTATAGTAGATGCTTAGTTAGCACAGACTAAAATAAACACGTCTACCACACAGTAAAATATGCCCATGGGTATAGGAGCGGTACAAATACCAAGAAGTCACTCACTGCTTTCTGATTGGGTACCAGGCCCAATACACAGGCCTGGCCATAAATCCAAGGTTGGGTAGCTCACAGGCCCCAAGGGGTGAACCTACTATTATTATTTTAGTAAAAGAACATAGTATCAAACGGCCTCTAAATTTATAGCTTTGAGACCATAGATCAAAGCAGCCTTCAGTCCTCTTTTTGCAATGGGTAAAAACTCACAAATGCCCAGAGAATAAGTGTCTGTCGAGTACTTGGCCGCTAATGGTACTACCCACCCACCTACGCCAGGGTTCAGGGACCATCCCAGAAAGAAAAGGCTGGAAATATTGAAAAGTCTAACAATGTAGACGACCAAAGCAAAATCATTTCTCCCTGATATGACAGGACTTCTGCACTGGAACTCTCGGCAGCTGAAAGACAGAAGAAGATACAGCCAGTTACCTTTCTACTTCAGATAGATAGGGCTCAGAAGGCCCCATTCTTACTAAGGAGGCATTGCCAGTTAATGGCTTCCAGGAAAGGAAGAGACAGACTTCTTTAATTAAGTGGTCTTAGAGTAGATGGCCCATACCTGTGAGTGCATGGTCAACACAAATTGGGCCCACTTTGTTTTAGAGGAAAAAAAGGAAGGAGACATAAAGTTTTAAGGATAAGGGAGGTAAGGGTGGATCTGGGAGGAGTTGGGGAAAGGGTGAGAGGTGGAGATGACCAAAATATATTACACGAGATTCTCGAAGAGTTAATAAGATGTTAGAAAAAGGCAAACTGGTCCAAACCACATGTCAAGCTGACCAAAAGCTTAACATAATAATATGAAAGGTTAGTCCTTCTGTGATAACTGGTATGGATAGCTCACTGTTTTTGCAAGGGCTTTGGCCATCATGGTAAGAGTGGCGTTGTGACTCACCCAGTCAGTGGCATCTCTGAACAGAGAGAAGCCTTGAAATTAGCCTTAAAATTTCCTTTCCTACAGCTGTCCTTGTATTCCTTTATAAGAAGAACAGAGTCTCCAAGGTGTGGTCAAGGAGAGGACCCCCCCACACACACACACACACACACATGCACCCACAACACACACATGCGCGCACACACACACAAATGCACACACAACATATATGCACACATGCACATACATGCACACACACACACACACACACACACACACACACAAAGACACTCCAAATGATGACCTTCACTTAGTGAGAAAGAAAAAAAAAAGTAATTTTAAAACCTTAGGTCATGAATTATTGGCGTGTTGACAGAGTGGCATTACCTTAGAGGGGATAGGCTGGCAAATGAGTTCCAGTCTGTCTCTCAAAGCAATTACAATTCACAATAGAAATTGTACAGTGTTCTGAGGAGTAATTGAGCTAGTCTGAAATTAAAAGAACTATGCGTACACAACATAACGAGAAGATTTATTAGAAGGAAATACACAGATGATGAGGGAATTATTGAGCCAGCAATGAAACTATGGAAAAGATTGCCCAACTCAGTTCCACAGCTCCACAATGACTCTCAGGCAGCCTTCTGGGTCTCCCAAAGACATAGCTCTTCACAGCCTGCCTT